GTTTTGTCCTTTATAGAACCTATCGGAGTGGTTAAGAAGTCTTATGGTTAAGTGGGAGAATTAGATGTAGGCAGCGTGGCCGAGTGGTCTAAGGCGCCGGTTTCAGGTACCGGTCCGAAAGGGCGTGAGTTCGAATCTCACTGCTGTCACTTCTCTTTTTTTTCTCTCGCGCGTCTCTTTACAAAATCCGTAGGATGAACTAGAAGAGTTCACTATGTTTCAGTCATGAATGAAATATGAACAGTGAGACTGAACGATCGAAGACGTTAGTGATAAAGGATGTTGATTTCAATGTTACGGTTGTAACCATTGTTTTTGTTTTCTCAGGAAGATATGACTGAATAAACAACAAGCCAATAGTTCAAGAAAAAGTGTTTTGTTTCTCGATATTTATTTGGATTTCTTTTCTTTTTGGTACTTTTCGACAGAAGCGAATATTAGCACAAAGTGTTATATAGCAGTCGGGTGCTCCGTGTATAGTAGTATATTACGTTTATGGATTGTTGAGGCTGATCGTTTTTTTTTTCGAAGGAGTCAGCGTACGAATTCATATGTTTTTCACAACTGTTCGTGATATCGGACGAAGATGTTTGTGCCAAGCATTATGAATTTGAGCCTGGAAACGATAGCGATGAATGAAGATATATTTTGTGATGACTAGGAAAGAATCTGCGAATAGTTTTTGTATGTATCTACTATAAGAATTAACTTTGTTGATTCAGTTCGGATAATTTTGTCAGCGAATAATTTCTGATGATATTTAGTGGTTTTAGCACGAGGATAATTTTTAGTAAAAGTAACGTAGGATAAGTAGCCAGGATTCTTGATGTTTGAACTGTGTCGAATCTTGTTAAAGATTGGATCGTTCTCGATTATACTATATTCAATCTCAGATCGAATCCAACATTAATGAAGACTGTAAATATGAATGACGTCAAGCGTCATTCTGCTCCCATTAAACAGTAGATCACAATCGAATAGGTTAGCAGGTGATTTAAGATTCACAACAATCGTAGCCAAACGAATATTTTTGCAAATTAATACTAGTTTTTATAAATACCTATATTCTAAACCGTCGGATACGAAACCATTCCATCTATGGTAGATATGAAAGACCTGAAATGGTCATTAGTTATTCGTTAGACAGAGACGCTAGTACTGAAGATAGAAGTTCTGATAACAAGCCAAAAAAACATCAGAAAAACGAAACTTTCATATCAAGATGAATAAAATTTGAACAGACAGTCAATAATGTTGAGTAAAAGACAACATGGACGAAAATATTAGGATGAATCAAATGAAGAGATAAAGCATCTGACCATAAATGTAATATTGCTAGGAGTAGATCAATTAGATTTGCAATATATCATTGTCAAAGAGATGTGAATAGATTAGAAAAAAATGTGAATGAAAAAACTTGCATGAGTTTAAAGCGCATTACCGAATGTCATTACTAATCTAAATTAAATTAAATTTTGCAAAACGGAGATAAATCATTTTCTATGTAACCTTCCGTCATTAATTTTTTCAAGGGAAAATAATCGTAAATCGATTAATAGATCGAGAAAAAAAATAATAATGAATATTAAATAATAAAGCAAATAAAATGAGAAATCACGAATAAACTACTAACTTACCATAATGTTGATATTAGAATATGTGACCTTCTTTCAATCAAATCAAATATAACAATAATTTTATTTATCTAAATTCGAAAAAGATTACGATAGAAGTTAACTGTTAGTATGTATGCATGGTTTGAATAGATTAAGTAGCCACTCAGTCGATGGGGTCTGACAAAAAAAAGAGTGCAGCACATATACTTTCAAGACAATCATTCGTATTAATTAAACAGTAGTAATTGTTCTTTAATATTAATAAATTTCCTGCTTTAAAATAACTAATATAAACCTTCAATGTCCTTTTTACCATAACAATTTTATTTTCTCTTTATTTTTGTTGTTGATGTGTTATTCATGAGTCATCCGACAAAATGGAAGAAAAAAAAGAAAGAAAACGTGTTGACTTATTTATAAAACAAACGACAATATGCGAATGAATAAGAATATAAATATGAGTGACAATACACAACTTGAATCTATTCCAAATGAAATTCTTATAGCAATATTTGATTATTTATCACTTCATGATCTTTATCAAGCATTCAAAGGACTTAATCAACGAATTAATGATATTCTTCAATCACTCAATAATCGCGCAATTCGTCTTTGGTCTACTGATGAAAAAAATGAAATTGATATGAATATATTTTTTGCTTCAACTATTATTTCACTTGATATTAAAGATGAATATGATATTGATTTAAATCAATATCCTAAAATGCGTTCATTAACTTATACATATGCAACTGAAACTCAACTTCAACATTTTCTTCAATCAACATTTTGTCATAAACATTTAAAATATCTTAATGTTACATCTGATGATTTATCATTACTTGTTAAATATATTTTTTCACATGAATTTTCATCACTTAATCAATGTATATTACGTAATATTGATTCATTGCCAATGTGTCCATGGAGATTAACACCATCGTCTTGTTCAATAGCTGTTTGTAGTGATGAAAATTTTATACCATCGATTCTTAAGTCATGTCCTAATTTAAAACGTCTGTCATTATTTATTTTTGAATATTCTGATACATCTTTATCTTCATTTGTTTATCATTCTCATCTTAAATATCTTACTATTGAAATGACTCAACCAGCATGGACAGCACAAGCTATTCAAACATTATTTTCATCAATTCAAACACCTGAATTAATTTCATTTCGTATTGTATCCTATCAAGCATCATTAATACCGTTTGATTTTATTCAATTAATTGATATTTTTAATGAACGATTACCTAATTTACAACGATTCGAATGTAATATTCTTTTATCAAAAGGAGTAGAAACAATCGATTTAAAAACTATTCGAGAACTACATTCATTTTTATTTAATCATCTGAAATTTGAAAATCAATTCAATGGAATGCTAAGAATTTATACAATTGATCTTGAAGATTAAATATAACAGAATTAAATCTGAATAAGATCATTTGTTGTTTTTTTAAATAAAATTTTTATACTCATTGTATATAGGTAAATACAAATATTATCTTATTAACAGTGGATAATCTAGATAATCAATGATACTTGCGAAAGTATATGTAGAAACTTATTAATCAATAATATAATAGTAGATTGACGAGACTGAAAATTATTCATTTCTTCAGGTATTATTCCCAAAATATCGAATTTTGATGAGATTTTCCCATAGAACCGAACCTTTCCAGCAGCATCATACTAGTGAGTTTCGACTATTTAGCGATAAGTAAATCTTGACAGGACTGAAAAACAGTTTCTGGAGAAGCAAAAATCTTACTTTTTTTTTGAAGACGGATGTGATTTCCTGGAATATCAACTAAATTCTGTAAATATATAATACTTGACGGTGATCTCTACTCTGGAAAATGAAGCAAGAGTGGAGAGTTTTGATTAATTCGTTGAACAATGACAGAGTTGTGACGATAGATCATTTCGCTCTGAAAAGGTAAAAATTGGAAAAATAGACTTTATAAAAGCCTTTACTGCACTTCAACAGTTTTTAAAAAATGGAAAAAAAAACGTTAGATAGCTGAATGCAACTTTCATATTTGACACTATTGAATATATACTATTATGAATAATTTTTTATTTATGAGGAAACAAATTGTGTGTGGTTTTTTTTTCTAATACTAGAGTAATTCGTTATACAAGTATTGGTCACATGACATATTAATTTAAAAGTGTCCTGAAGGAGCATCGAAGGTGGGCAGATGCAAGAGTACACAGATTATTATTTACAAGCTAAAAGTTGTTTTTTTCTGTTGTTTTAATTTATGGATACATAATAAATTAAACAAATTCTTAATTCAACAAAGTACATATTATGTTTTTTTATGTCACTTTGCTGTGAAATAATATATGCTTTTTTTGTTCGGATAGAGCAGCTGTCGTATGCTTGTATCATATTGATAACAAAAAGTATACAACGTATATGAAAAACTCATTGGTGTATTATTATCATATGTTTACTCATTTCTACTTTGTCATGAAAAAAAAAATAAGGACGAAGAGTAAAATTTGAGCACAGAAAAAATTCCTTTTTGTTTTAAATATTACATTGGTGATGTCTTCTAGTTCTTCTAACGAAGACGGTCTCCTAATAAATCGTAAATCATTTGTAAATCATTGTCGAAATGTTAAAAATGCAATGAAAGAATTATTAACATTTCATCCTAAAGAATGGATTAGTGCATTTCGATCGAACCCAAAATATCCTTTATTCGTACGTGGTGATATTGATGGTTTTGTTGCGTTATTTTTTAATAATCTATCAACATTATTAGTAGTAGTCTTAAGTTTACAACCAATTTTGGGAGATAAAATCGTTTATGGTAAGATTCTACCCGGGTAAGTAAATAAATTAAAAAACATATAAAATTTATAATCTCATCACAGAACTGGATTAGCCATGTTATGGGGTAATTTTTATTATGTTTATATGGCTCGAAAACTTGCATTTAAAGAAAAGCGTGGTGATGTATGTGTTATGCCTTATGGTATCTGTACTCCAGGTGCATTTGCGTTTATTTATGTCATTATATCACCTACTTATTATGGATGTATATCTACACATGATAAAGCTTATTGTCAAGAATTAGCATGGTATGTGGCTTTAGCCAGTAATTTTATTACTGGTATTGTTCTTTTGTTACTTTGTGTATTTGGTGAATTCATTCGAAAGAATACGCCAAGTGTAGCACTTCTTTCTTCCATATCTGGTCTTGGATATGCTATTTTAGCATTGAACGAATATTTACCTATAGCAGAAACACCAATAGTAGCTTTTATTCCGTTTACAATAGTAATGCTTGGATATTTTGGTGGAGGTAAAACTAGATCTAAAAGTTTAATTATCTTTTGAAAGGCTTATTTCTAAATTTATGTTTTAGTTACTTATGGTCCCTTACCAATAGCTTTCGTTGCTCTAGTAGCAGGTACAGCTCTTAGTTGGGCTACTTCACTTAATCAAGGCTCAGCAGTACAAGAAGCAGTTCATCTTGTAAAATTTTATGCACCAGTTTTTCCTATTAAAGAAATGATTCAACATATAGATACTATTCGTTTCTATCTTTCAACAACAATTCCAACAGCTATTGTCATTGCTATTGGAACAATACAATGTGTTGAATCAGCTAAACGAGCTGGAGATTTTTATCCTACTCATGAAGCCATGTTTGTTGATGGTATTGGAACATTAATTTCTACTTGTTTTGGTTCAATTCTTAGTATGACAGGTAGTTTAAAAAGCGTTTTTTTGTAAGTAAATGAATTGCATTCATGTTTATTTATAGCTTATATCGGTCATCCAGCAATGAAAAAAATGGGTGCAAAACAAGCATATTCATTAATGAATGGTCTCAGTTATTTACCATTATGTTTTCTTGGTATTAGTGGTTTACTTATATCTATAATTGCTGTTATATCAATAAATCCAGTTGTTGTAAGTTTATTAAATATTAATAAAAAAATTATTTAAGAATAATAAACTAAGAAATTTTTAAATATTTTTATTAATAGATTTTTATTGGTTTGGTTATATGTTCTGATACATTAGCAATTACACCACAACGTCATTATCCTGCTTTTCTTTTTGGTATGATGTCAGTTGTAGCTGGTTGGGCGCAAACTACAATTGTAAGTGGTGTATCGAATGCTTACTCGAATTTTACGCTACCCAATGTTCAATTTTCAACTAATGTTAGTTCTGTCATAACTGCTTTTTCATATCGTGGTTTAGATAATTTCGCTGGTGGTTCACTATTACAAAGTGTTCTTGTCACTGCTATTTTGATGTATATGATTGACCGAAAATTTTTAAGAGCTACAGTTTGGTCTCTTCTTGCAGGTTTCTTTTCATTATTTGGTTTAATCAATGCAAGTAATGTAGGTGTATTAGTAAAGAATAAAGATGATGGCTGGCGATTTGCTGTAGCATATATAATGTTAGCTGTTTTATTTGTATCATTAGAAATACTACAAAGAAAACATTGGATAAAAGGACAAGAAAAAGAACCTGATGATTTATCAAGTTTTGAATGGGCTGAATGGAAAAGAGAACAAGCATTGAAAGAATCCACAAACGACGAATACAGACTAATAAACGTATGATTTGTTTTTCGATTGTTGAAAAAAAAAAATATAACAACTGTAGGTTGTGGGTGTTGTTGAACTGAACACCCACATTCTCTCAATTCTGAATAGGCGATATAATTCAACAAGGTTCTTCATAACAATAGTATCATTTTATCTTATTTTCTTAGCATTGAAGTTTGTTGTTTTTTAATTGCGTTTCATTTTTAAGGCTTTATCGTATTAAACATATATATAGTTTGTATAGTCTCCCTCGGACAAAAAAAACGGCCTTTTTCCATTTCATTTTTGCATCACTTAATAAGTTGTTTTAAAAAAACAAAATATACCAGGAGATGCAGCGTGAAAAGAACTACAATTTACAAAGTAAATCTTATTTTAATTCTGTACTTTTTGTTTTCAAAAAAAGCAAAATTGTGTGCGAC